GTGTTAAAAATGGAAATGTATTTAATAATTTATTATGGCCACATTTTAGACTGAGTGAAAATAGACATATTTGGAAAAACATGTAAAAATGTATTTATTTATTATTATTTATTGATTTCTAATGCCAACTTTATATATTTCTATTCAATGCTTTACTAATGTGCCACAATAATGTAACGTTCTAGAGTTAAAATAACTTAATTTGGGGGCTTTACCAAGCAAATATTGAGATATGTGATGTACTGTGTGTGTATAAAGGACGTTTATGTCATCTTGTGGCCCTAACACCTTTTGTTCTTTTAGTTTGTCGACATCACGTGGTGCATTTTCCAAAATAAAGTCTGTTTCATCAAATTATCTCAAGCTAACTGACTAAAACCGGGGCCAAGTAGCATTCCTGTACACATCTGTTCACAAAGAAGCTGACAGCTATAGTGTGAGAACAAGGGAAGGAAATGTTTTCTACTAGTTAGTACCAGCAGTATTACTACTGTACATCTGTCATTTCTGCTACTACTTACCAAACAAGTCCTGCTTTTAGTAGCTCTACTACTATTATTACCACTTGCTGCTGTTTTTTTCCAACCATCTTACTTCCATACTAACCTACTAACATGTAACAGACCATGCTAATGTCAGCAGTGCATGTAAAGATTGAATTATTACTTTATCAGTCTCCAGGTTGTTGTGTGCAGCAGCTCGGTCTAACGCAGAGTTTTCATCGTGTTGTTCAGGGTCCAGCAGCAGATTTGTTTGGACCACGGAGCCGTTCAGTCCCCCTTCACCGGCCCGGCCTTTTCCACACTGAAGGACGCTGTCAGACGCCTGCTGCCGTACCACACCTGCGCTGGTCACCTGCCCACTCAGGATGACTTTAATTTAGGTCAGTGAGCTTTGCTTGGTGACTGTACTGATGATTAATGCCGGCTAAATTATTAATAAAAAAAACAATCAACTGAAAGATCTCCTCCAAAATGAACCATCTGCTGCAGTTATTTAAAAAAAGAAACTGACAGCTGCTGGTGACTTAAGTTCTTAGTGGACAGAAAAAGAACACATACGGTACAACTTAGATAGAAATAACAATCTGCAAATAACTATTATAACATGGGTGAAACGGCATAAATCTAGCTTTTAATTCACAATCAGAGGATGAAGTAGAAGAAAATGTGTGGTACTTATTGGACCAAACAAAAGACCTAACTAACCAACCAATAAACCTGGTGTTGTTTAACTAAAGTCACCAATGTGAGAAGGAAAGAAACAGCACCTTGACTTGCACGTATCAGATAGTACACAGTTTGATAATTTTACATGTATATTATGTAATTAATCAGCGCTACAGCTTGAATATACTCTAATGCACTGGAGTATGCTGTAATTACTGATTAGGATTAATATCACTCAGGTTTCAGGGGAGAGTTTTAGTGTCCTGGCATCTGAATCATGTCTCAGAGGCCCACTCTGCCAAGTAATAAAATCCTGTGGACTTTTTAATAAGAAAATAGTCAGATTTAAAGATCAATGCAAAATATGGGACTCAAACTACTAGAGCTGCAACTAACGATTATTTAGTCCCCATTAGTCTCTCGTTTAATCAATTGGTCTCTTAGGCTTTCTAGTTTTACTTACTTATTATTTTAGTTTTATGCACCTCCTATTATTTATTTTTAAATTTCTCTATTTATTTGTGCTTATTAACAGAATTTCTCCTCTTTGGATCAATAAAGGCAGATTATCTTATCTTATAAAATGTTAGAAATTAGTGAAAAATACACACAGTTATCTAAAGCCCAATGGATGTCATCAAAACTGCTTGTTTTGTCCCAAACCAAAATATATTCAGTTTACAATCACATGTGAACATGTGACTAAAAAGCTGCAAATCCTCACATCTGAAGCTGGAAGCATAGAAATATTTTAGCTTTAAAAAAATAACTTTTATGACGATCACTTATCAAAATAGTTGCAGATTAATCAACTAATGGTTTCAGCTCCACATTTTCCAACAATGCATACTGGTGTATTAAACACTCTTATGTATCAGAACTGTATACGAACTCCCTCTGGGTGGAAAATCTGACTGCGATGATGTTTCTCTTCTCACAGTGGACCAGGAGTTTGACAGTGTGTCCGGTTTCCTGCTGAAACGCACGAAGGACATGGTCAACAAATACAGGCAGCTACTGGTTAGAGAAGCCCAGGTAAAGACACAACACACTGCTTTCTTTCTCTGTACCTCAGTCCAAACTCTTCTGACCACAGACCGCAGGTATCTTCTGTTTATAAGGCCTCATTGTTTTATAACTGGGAGGTTAAACCCTGTTGATTAAGCGGTGTGTGTGTGACGGGGCGATGTGAACTGGTTTCCACAGCAGGAGAGTCCGTCAGCAGAGATGGTGATGCTGGAGCGTCTCTTCCTCCAGGCTGAGCGATGCGCTTTAGCGGAGGACAGACGAAGAGTCCGCAGAGACCCAGGTCAGTGTCCCAGCAGGGAAACGCAACCTTCAACACAACCTACTTTATTACATATGTGTACATAAATGTGAGTGGCTGTTTTGCAGATTCAAATCCCAGGACAGAGGCAGAAAATATGGATGGGAAAAGGGAATTAGTGACACTTTTTTATTTTTTTTTTCTTATAAACTAATTTCACTGTTCCTCAGAGCGTGGCACTTAACCTCCATATTTGCTCCGGAGCAGCTCCCAGGTGTGAATGTGTAATTAAGCTGTGTAAATGTGGAGCAGGGTCGTGCTGAGAAAGGCTCTGCATGATGACAAGAAAATTACATGTGAGAGGTGAAGAGCAAATTAAAGCGGGGTTGTTATGTTAATTAAAAAAAGTTGGAAAAAGGGGGAAGAAAGCTTTTGAAAATTTGTTAAATGTCAGGCTCGGCTGCTGTTGGACCCTGGGACTAATATGATATAAAATAATGAAACAAAAATAGAACAATCTCTTATTATACAGCCATTATGTTAACATAACAAAACCTTTACTTTTATTTATTTTATTTGCAGAAACAGTGCACATTAATAGACATTTGTGCAAATATGTTTATCATCCACAGTCCCTGGACAGATGTTACATAATCACGCTAATATAGAGCAGAAAAATAGTTGGAACAATAAATTTAAACTACTAATAAAATAGTAGACCTTTTAATTTCTGTAACTGTACAGCATAACTCCCTCTTTAAAGGTTGAGTTCAGTTCTTTAAGTCCATGGAGGACTGTGATCTTGTTCCAGGGGATTTTCGGTGAATTGACCCTTTAAAAACTGGCGCTGACGTTCTCTGTGGCTTCAAAAACTCAAAATGTCTGATTATCAATCTCATTCTTTCTTCCAGAGTCATTTATGATGGCCTTGGCTACGTCAGCATCTTCCCCCCATGGCGCCCACTCCTCCGGCCCCTCCCACCTGTGCTCCTCTGGCAGCCCCTCCTCCCCACCAGCCTGGACCAGACTGTCCGACCGGCCCCCGGGGCTGAAGACGTACCGCTCCAGCTCCCGCGGGGCTCTCAGGCTCACCATCAAGCAGGAGTCCGGCTCCCGCAAAGTGGTTCACAACTCCGCCTGCGACCCGGGACTCAAGAGGGACCACACGGGGCAGCTTACTAACGGCGGCGGAGCTGTGAACGAACGCCACCCTCAGGCACCCAACGGAGCACCCCAGTGCCCTCAGCACGACGAGGAGATCTCCAACGGAGCTCTGCCCTGTAACACTGCGGAGGAAGTCCCACAGACTGCACCCAATTCCAAAATAAAAGCCCCAAATCCTCTTTCTATGCCAGAGCCACAGGCCGGTTGCTTCGAGTTGCCTCACAGAGATGTCAGCGCCCCAAAACTGAAATGCTACAGGTTGGATGCGTCGCCTCGGCCGGAGCAGCGGTTCAGCCCGCCGCCTCCCCCCCTCCAAGAGGACAACATGCTCAGTGAACATCTACAGAGTGCCATTGACAGCATCCTGGAGCTTCAGCGCCTGCAGGGCCCCTCTGCAGCCCCGACCAGGGCCACGTCAGGCCCTTCACTGGACCAGGCTGTCACCAGCATCCTGGAGGGACACCTGTGAGGTTAACGGGCCCCGACATACGTCCACGCGGATACAGAAACATCTGTCTGAGGTGGGATAAAACAAAGGAAGGTGTACTTGACTTCTTATCTGTTCCCAGAACTTTTGTTTCTGGGTTTCAGAGATTACTTTAAAGGAACTGATTGTTTGAAAGAAGAGGGGGAAAAAAAATTAAGAGGCACTATAAAGAGATGCATACCAGACAACAGCACTATCTATAGTCCGATAGATGTTAGATACTTCATTTTGATGTACGTTTGTGGAAAAAAAAATCTATTTGAATAGGAGCTATATTGTTTCAGTGGTAGTTAAGTCATTCAGAGGTTTACGACACTGGTGTAACCTTCATCAGCATATAGTATATAAGTAATAGTGAGGATAACGAAAACGTGGAGTAGACTGAGATTATTCAATAGTTTTTTATAAGATTTCTTTCAAAAATGTGAAGTTTCTTTTGCATAGTGCCAAGCTTCCAGGGTATTTATTTTGATAATCTGTGCCAATTGTGTTTTCAGATGAGTTGCATTGAGAAAGGCAGTGAGTGTGTGAGCGTCTTCATTTTAATTGGTTTGCGCGGATCTAAAATGTGTGTGTGTGTGTGTGTGTGAGTGTGTGTGAGAGTGTGAGAGTGTGTGTGTGTGTGTGTGTGTGTGTGTGTGTGTGTGATTTGCTGTATCACG